GATAAGATGTTGAAGTATACAACTAGCAGAAGCTACCCATGCTAACGAAGCAAAGCAGAACAGTATTGCAAAAAAATTCCAAATAAACTAAAATAAAAATACATATTGCTATGGCAAACAATAACACAACAGATATGCCTTTATGGTACCCTTCTATTGTGGGTTAGCATTTTGAATGGTGCCCATCAGGGTGTTTCTTCCACTCAGTATTTTCTAAAGATTATTTTAATTCTAAAAGAAATTAAGTGAAAACTTAGCATACTACAGAACAAATCACCAGCTTTGGTTGTCATGTTCACTTGGAGCAAAGCCATTAAATGCTGCAAATGCTCCACTGAGATTGCAGAGAGCATCACTAATCAATCATCTTATAAATGGGTGCTTTGTTATTAGCAATGCCTATCTATGGCAACCATTTTGTAAGTAGGGAAGTCTCCCATGGCAGCCATTTCAGGATTTCAACACGGTGTCAAATAACTCTCAATGGGCCCTTGCTAAAAAAAAAAAAGTTTAACTACTTTTTGGGGGCCTACAAAACATTAATTCTATACAGCTTTCTTTTAATATATTATTTATCAGCAAACATATAATATAATAAACTTGAGTCATGATAGGAAAGGAATACATCGTTCTCAGATTTCAAAAACTGTTCTCATCATGCATCCAGTGCCTATACACAGAATACCTTCCCCTCCCTCCCTCCCTCCCTTCCTTTCTTCCTGATGCTAATTATTTTTTTCATTTTGATGTAACACATCAAATGTACATGTACCAAAGAACAAGATATACAACATTGGAAAATCAATTATATTTTATTAAAGCCCCTTCTTTTGTCAATCTAGTATACTATTTGGTGTTTATGCCTTCAAAAACTTCATCTTGCTGAATTGCATTTCTCTATGCTTATGTCTCTTTTATGAAGATATAATATTCTCAATACTTGCACAGCACTTCAAAAATTCCATTTAAACCACACTTTAATTTCATTATAGGAATAGGTTAGCAAACTTGGTTGGAATTTTGTAACTTGTACTTAGGGCTTGCAATAAGAATTCTCATACTTTTTGTGATCTTTTCTCCATTCTTTCAGTTGGAAGAGAGAACAGGAATATCCTTAGGTGCGCAAACATGTGTCCATTTATCTGAGTCATTACTTCACCCTTGCAGTCTGGCTGAGTCCCGAATCTGGGATATCACTTCAAACTGCTAAAGCCATTTCAAGTGTGAAACTGTGCAGATTTATGAACAACCAATTCATTTATATATGGGAACTAGGTCAGTTACAGAGAAAAGAAATACCTGTTTAATCCATTACTTCAATACTCATAAATTAGTATTTCAACATAACACTATTATAACAGTAGAATTTACTGGTAATGTTTTTTCCTGTAATTTACTGTGATTTTATTCTTTACATAACTATCTGTCAATTTTTCAAATATCTTAATACTTAGTTTTGAACAAGGGTACCCTAATTATTATTCTAAAATGTACTTTCTAATATATATGTAATAGATACATTCTCAGCATTAGAAGACAAGATAGAAAGACCTACACATAGATTAGAGAACAAATAAAAGTATACTATATCATCAAGACAGTAAAAGAACTGAAATGGAAATGGGCTGGTCACATAGCAAGAATTGATGGCAGGTGGACCAAGACAGTTATTGAATGAATCCCACTTGATAAAAAGTGTCCACGAAAGAGATCTAAAACAACATGGATCGATAACATCAGCAAGTATTATGGGCCCAATGGGCAAAAGAAAGCTCAGAACAATATCGGTTGGAAACATGAAGAAGAGGCCTTCATTCTGCAGAGGATAGACAATGGCTAAGATGATGATGATGGTAATGTCCTAATGCTAATAATTCTATTTTTTTAAAGGAAACAATTTTAGTCTAACCAGAATAATATGTAGAACTCCCATAACATTCTATGTAATCATGTGTTTTGATGATGATTCAAAAATCTTTTTATCAGTTTCATTAATGTATAAAAATTTAAAAAATGCTGGGAAAGAATTGTCAGCATCATATCTCAGTAAAACAGCATCAGTGCCAGCCAATAAAACGAGACCCAATCAATACAAGAGTGTCAGGCAAAGCACCCAGAATCACTCATGAATAGTCTCAGACAGAAGCCTTATTGCTAGCCACCCGTGTTATAGGAATCTCACCAGACTGACTGCATTCTCTTGAGATGGTCAGATAAGGCCTCAAGGATAATAATAATAATAATAATAATAATAATAATAATAATAATAATAATAATAATAATAATAATAATAATAANCTTCTGGAGGCAGGTTGTTCCACTGGTTAATTGTTCTAACTGTCAGGAAGTTTCTCCTTAGTTCTAGGTTGCTTCTCTCCTTGATTAGTTTCCATCTGTTGCTTCTTGTCCTGCCTTCAGGGGCCTTGGAAAATAGCTTGACTCCCTCTTCTTTGTGGCAGCCCCTGAGATATTGGAATACTGCTATCATGTCCCCCCTCGTCCTTCTCTTCATTAAACTAGACATACCCAATTCTAGCAGCCTTTCCTTATATGCTTTGGCCTCCAGTCCCCTGATCATCTTTGTTGCTCTTCTCTGTACTCTTTCTAGAGTCTCAACATCTTTTTTACATCGTGGTGACCAAAACTGGATGCAGTATTATGGGGGAGACAGGCCTCTGAACTCTGCAGTTCAAATACCCTATATTCGCTCACCCACCCACCCTTAACACCTCTCTCCAGTCTAGCTGGAGATTCCAAGACAAAGAGATGGTAAATGAGATTCAACAGATACAGAATGTGATACAACAAGGATATTTCTATTTATTTAGCAATAACATAGCAACAGCACTTAAATTTATACACAGTTCCACTCCATAATATTTTACAGCACTCTCTGAGCAGTTTACAGAGTTAGCCTATTGCACCCAACAATCTGGGTCCTCGTTTTATTGATCTGGAAGGCTGAGTCAACCTTGAGCCAATCAGGACTGAACTCCTGGCAGTGGGCAGAGTCAGACTGCAATGCTGCATTCTAACCACTGCACCACTACGGCTCCTGTTTATTTGCTGAGCTTGTTCTCTCTGTAAAGGAACAGAGGGGGGCTCATCGACCGCAACTCTGTCATAAAGACAGTTTTTGTCGATTCAGGTTAATACAAAACATACTATGTCAGGGGTAGGCAACCTTGGCTCTTTTATGAATCGTAGACTTCAACTCCCAGAATTCCTGAGCCAGAATTCTGGGAGTTGAAGTCCACGAGTCATAAAAGAGCCAAGGTTGCCTACCCCTATACTATGTCCTCAGTTTATTTATGTTCTGAAACTCCCAGGCTGAATTTTTTGATATGTGTTATACATGGAAATGAACCTTTGAAAGTGGCCTCCAAAGTTCCACATATATTTAAAAATGACCTGCTAGAATTGGAAACAGATGATCTGGATGTAATACACCAATGCTTTACTATCTTCATTGGTTTCTAAAATATTTCTTATTTCATTCAAAGTGCTGTTTTGACATTTGAAACTTAAATGACCCTTCTCTGGATATATCACCTAAATATACTGCTCACAAAAATAAAGGGAACGCAAACCCCTTCAGTTCCATGGTAAAATGTTCCCTTTATTTTTTTGAGCAGTATATAAGTAATTGCTAGGACGAAGCTTAAATAATAGTGGCATTTTAATTGTGGGATGTTTTTCCCATCACTATTTTATGGGCATTTTGGTCTCAAACTATTTTGTAAATATTCATATAGTCATCTAAAATCCCTTAATTTTTAAATATTAAAACTATTGTTTTAACATAAAGCTTATACCATAAACTGTCAAGAGAATACAGAACATTATCAAAGTAAAAGATTCTAATACCAACATTACAATGTATAATTAAATGTATACCTCTATAAATATATAATCTGCACATAAATATATTGCCTTTTGCTTTTTAGCATAATGTTTGAAAATCCAGAACATTCAATAGATTCAGAATTTAAAGTAGCACAATACAATACGTTTCCATTTTGTTTTTGTTTTTTTCATCTACTGGCAAATAGACAAAGCATCTGAGTTTTCCTGCTTTAGGAAACAATATGGCAAAATATATAATCATCTGGTAGCTCATAACCAGAAGTATCTGTTATAAAGATTATGCATGCTGATGGAGTAAACAGCAATTTGTGTATCTGCTGTGAAAAACCCAGCAGAACATATTGGTTAAAAATATGTATCTCCTTTTCATTGACTGCAAACTATTTTTTACTTTTCTGTTTTCAGCACCTTAAAATTACAAATCTAAATTACAGGACCCAAGAGGAATAAATGCATTTAACAACTCCATATATATTTCATGTAAATCTATTGCTGTAATCTTGCTAATGAGGATAGTAAACTGGAGCAGTTCCCATGTGCACAAAAGGTAAATCTCTTCCCTGTTTTTGCTGACTAGAAAACAATGAAGCAAGTGCGGCGGTAGTAGAATGTAACATTTTAAGGTCTCTTATATTATGCTCACATTTAAGCCAAAAACAGATCAAGAGTTTTATTTACTTATCTGAGTAATAAAATAAATGATCACTTACTATAAAAAGATATTGTTTTCATAATTACACTTGAAAACGTGTCAGGAAGAATATATTCAAATAACTTGAAAGAACTTCTCAGTGTAAACATTAACTTTTTTTCAATATTGTGTCAAATTACTTAGAAATTCTACTTACATTTGGCCTTTATATTATCCATTAAATGATAAACCCAAATATTTTCACTTCAGTTTAGTTTGAGTTTTATACCCTTAAGTAGATATATTACAGGATTTTTTTAAATTATCAATTCTTATAACAATTCATTTTATTTGCAACAATTCTAGATAAGAATGAACCATGTCTTACCACTGGTGTCTGTAACAGTGATTTGAGCTTTAGTAGTGTCATCTCCAAATCTGTTGCTTGCTTTACATGTATATTCCCCAGCGTCATCCAACGAAGCTTTAGTAATGCGGAGTTCTGAGAATGTTCTAAGGAAAGAAAGTTGAATAATATATTAAATCATTTTATGCATCATTGAAGGAAACAAATATATAAAAAAATACTTTGTAGATTTGTTCCTCCTTTACTGGAAGTGCAGAGAGGAGCCATGCTCATAAGATAAATAACACAATGTAAATTACAGGTAGTCTTCAACTTACAACAGTTCATTTAGTGACCATTTGAAGTTACAATGAAAAATGTGACTTATAACCATTCTTCACACATATGACCCCTGCAGCATCCCCAGGGTCATGTGATTTACATTCAGATGCTTGACAACTGACTCATATTTATGACGATTGGAGTGTTCCGGGCTCCTGTGATCACCTTTGGCAACCTTCTGACAAGCAAAGTCAATGGGGAGGTCAGATTCACTTAACCACCATGTTACTAATTTAACAACTGCAGTGATTCACTTAACAACTGTGTCAAGAAAAGTCGTAAAATGGGGCAAAACTCACTTAACAAATTTCTCACTTAGCAACATAAATTCTGGGCTCATTTGTGGCCATAAGTCGTGGACTACCTGTAGTATGTACAGTAATACACATTTTCCTATTATAGATTTGATAGTATAGGTACTCCTTACTTAATGACCATATGACTCCCTCCCATTACTTACAATCCACCCTTAAAGTTGTGACTGCCGCACAGACACATCTGGAGTCATATGATCACAGTCTGGTGCTTGGCATATTTCAGATCACATTTACAACTGGTTACAGTGTCCCATAGTAACATAACCATGATCTGTGCTATTTTTTGCCAGTTTCCACCCTAAAAAACCCCATTCAGGAGAAAGGAATTTCTTAACATCCATATGGTTTGTTTAACAACCACATAATTCAACTTAATGACCACAGTGACTCACTTTACGACTCTCTTAAAAACAGTCGTAAAATCAAGTCAAGTCATGTGGTGACACACTTAATTATCACAATGTTTTATGCCAAAATTCCAGGTTTGATTGTGGGTGTTAAGTGAGGATTACCTGTAGAACAAATGGGGTAGGGAAAGGATAATCTATTGTCTTTACCTTGAGATTAACCTTCAGTTATTTGTTTGAACTGATCATTAGAAGTTAGAACTAGAAAGCAGTTTGGTTTTTCCTCCTTGGACTCAATTGTTTATTATCCTTGCTTATCTTCTTTTAATGTGAATGAATATATGAGCACAAAACTTCCCATTATTAATTTTTTAAGTAACTCTAAGAACTCTTGTCTGGATGAGGTAAATTGCTTTAAATAATAAAAATACCCAAACATTTGGGTCCTATTTTTCAAAAGAATAAAGACATCTTAACAGTAAGAGATAAAAAATTATTTTGAGTTTAGCTCACCATCCCTCCTATGCTTTTGTGGATATATCTACATGTTTATCTTGACAACAGTACAGATATGAATTGCAATTCCTTCTTCTGTTGTTGTTTTAATCTCCCAGTTTAGACTGTAACCCTGAGAATATTTGAGAGTATTTGATGAGTCTCTCATACAGCTGCTAATGATGGTCAACCCTGCTTAACTTTGTTTGGATCAGTTAAGATTTCTAGCTACTGACAAATGTTGTAGGACAGCCTTAAGTACAATAATTTAACTCTTCAACTGTCTCATTAAAAGCAATGAAGTTGCATGGGGTTTTCCCAGAACATTAACTACATGCTTAATTTAGGATTTGACATTAGGATTTCATTTTGAAGTAGACACTACAATGATAGATTATAGATTACAGCACTTTTATTATAATTGCTCAGTACTGTCTGATCTTTCTAGTAACATACAAACATTGTATATCCTTGTAAATTATAGGATGATTGTGAATGTAGGATATAAGGCTAGAGGTCTCAAACCACCCCATCTATTCACATCTCTACCTCAGATCCTACCTGAGGTAGTGCCTTAATAGCTTCTATCTTCCAGCTGTTGCCTTATCTCCTAATCCAGTATATGAAAGGCAGTGGCCCTGAAATCTATGCTGCCTTTCTTGTGATTAAAATGGCAACATGGAAATAAGTTTAGTATAGTAAAACAATACCTGACCATGTAGCATAGAAACATGGTCTTAATATAAAATTAGAACATAGAATCATAGAGCTGGGAGGGGCCTTGGAGGTCTTCTAATCCAACCTCTTGCTCAAGGCAGGAACCTTATACATCCCGGTCAAACGGTTGTCCAGTCTGTTTTTAAAAACCTTCAGAGTTGGAACACCCACAACTCTGGGAGGCAAACTATTCCATTGTTCTCACACTGTCAGAAAATTTCTCCTTACATCTAGGTTGGATCTCTCTTAAGCAAGCTTTCACCCATTACTTCTTGTCTTACCCTGCTTTGGAGAATAAATCAATCCCCTCTTCTCTGTGACAGTCCTTCAAGTACTGGAAGATAGTTATCATGTCCTCCCTAATCCTTCTTTTCAATAGGCTAGAGTAGACATACCTAGCTGCCTCAACTGTTCATCATATTCAGCTCTTCCTCCTCTCCTTGGGAGATAAACCAATATCAGAGATGAACCAAATTTTAATAAAAAATGAAACTAAGCACTCCTTTTAAACTTTAATATTAAGCATTAAAATGCAGCCATTCATTGTTGGAGAAATAAATTATAGATCTGCATGGATCAGCTAAGTAACACAGATGAAAAAATAATCTAAAATATATATATATAAGCTTCTGGGCAAAACATGAAGATAATGGTCTGCTACAAAAGCTGGAACATCATTCAAGGGAGACATAAAATTCAATCTTTCCCTCATTTTTCTGGGAAGGGGGAGAGATACCTTTAAGTCAGTTTTTGACTTCTGGCAATTGCAATTTTCTTAGCAAGATTTTTTGGAAAGGGTTTGCCATTGCCTCCTCCTAGGATAGTGACAGGGCCAATGTTACCCAGGGACTAGAATTCAGTGTCTCCCAGTTTCTAGACTGGTGCTTTAATCACTACACCAGACCGGCTCTTAAACTTTCCTCTTGTACAGAGATTTAAAGAAATTATACAATATATGAACCCCAACATAGATTCCAGACTAAAACATACACCTCCTTCTATACAAAATGAAGATTCTAAAACTGATGTTTCTCCAGCTTTGGAAGTGATTTCACTTCAACAGGCTGCTCAGAACAAGTGATGGGAAACCCATTCCTTTGCAGCATAGCTCGGAATCTTCAGTCTTTGTTTTTAAAAGAATCAAACTTTCACAAAGAAACCTAGTTGGAATTTCCATTAGCTAATACCTATTACAAGTAGTCCTCAACTTACAACCACAACTGGGATCAGAATTTCAATTGCTAAGCAAGGCAGTTGTTTTTGCCATGTTTGTTGAGTCAATCAGGCAGTTTAGTGAACCCAGCTTTCCCCATTGACTTTGCTTGTTGGAACCCAGCTGAGAAGATTGCAGATGGCGACCACATCACCCTGTTGTAAATACTTGCCAGTTGCCAAGTGATCAAATTCTTGAACCTCAGATGACCATTACTGAGTTGTGGAACAACAGGTTTCTGTAAACTCTTGTAGTGAGCTCTCCAAGGTACTGATATGGAGTTGTCTTGCCAGTGCCCAGACCCACACAGAGAAAAAAATAAATCTCTTCCACACTGTAATTTACCAGTATCTAGAGAAGTTCCTAGGGATTCTCAAACAACAAAGAATGGGGGAAGTAAGCTATATGAATAGGATTGTGAAAGAACAGAAATGTTCCCTTTAATCCTATACAAAATTACCAAGGAAAAATAAAGATAAATAAGAAAATATTCTGGAAGACATGCCCAATTTTAGAAAACAATAAAAAGGACTCTTACATGAGAACTCATGGGAGTAAACAAACTTTAGAAAATATTTTAATATTAAATATCTACTAACATTGTGAAGCCATTGGTCATACACTATGAATTGGCAACTATCTTATAAGTATCCACAGCAAATAAATGAGGTTGTAGATTTCTTATTCACAGTTACAATATATGTTTTATATCTGAGGCACAAGTTTCAGATTTCAGCCTAAAAGTCACCAAATTAATTTCCACCAGAAACCGTGGTAGAACATTAAAATAAAAACAAGCAGTGAATAAAAACATGCTTCCTATGAATAGTCTTACAGAAATCCCAGGTTTCATTTTCAAACACAAATCATGCATGAGGAGATTAACCTTCACATTGAATCTATATAAATTTCTATCCATTCCTTAAAACTGTATCAGGCACCTTTCTATAATGTATAATTAGTCCAATAATAAACTGAACTGATCTCCTTAACTTATGAGCACAAGACAGATGTAAATGAGTATTATTATTATTATTATTATTAATAATAATAATAATAATAATAATAATAATAATAATAATAATAATAATAATAATAATAATAATAATAATAATAATAATAATAATAATAATAGAGTTGGAAGGGACCTTGGAGGTCTTCTAGTCCAACCCCCTGCTCAGGCAAGAAACCCTATACCATTTCAGAAAATGGTTGTCCAGTCTCTTTTATAATATAGCTGCCTGAATTGGGCCAGTTACTGACCTCAGCTTATTTTACTTTACAAAGTAATGATAAAGGTAAAGTAATGAAAATAAGCAATGAATTGTGTAATACGAAAGCACTGAAATAATAATAGCATAGTGCATTCTTAAGTATTAGACCAAAATACTAATACTAATACTGCTTGTATCTATTAGCAAGCATAGATGTAAGCAATATAGCATATATCCCTGCCAGGCCAGGCTTTGTGCTCTATCTGATCTTATTAGTATATTATTTTTATATATTTTAAAAATAAGACCAGGAATTTGCCATGGTATAAAGTGTGGTGGAAGGTAGTGAGGAGGTGAATTCCTAGGAGGAGGGTTGAATTTCAGGAACCTAAGAGGCAACTCAGCTCAGATGGTATGTGTGAGAGAAAGAGAGTGAAGACAACACCTCCCCATTAGTTCAAAGAGTATGTTACAAATGTAGATGGTAGCATCTTTAGTCTGGCAAGTTTTGTTTATAGGTGTGAAACAATAAAGATCTCAGCTTGGAAGAATTGCCATGTGCCATTCTTGGTTTTGGGTGTGACACAAAGTGACAGAATTTAGCATTTAACTACTGTATATTTCACAAAATTTCTTTAGGCCACATATAAGTACGATGAGCATTATTCAATAATAAAATCAGTGGGTGTCTACAATGAGGTACTTTTATTGATAGTGAGTAATGCTTTCAGCTTCACATAGCATCTATTGAAGCTGGATTGTAAATAAAAACAAGACCAGGTTAGGAGGAAAAAATGAAGGCATGAAATCAAGATGGACTGATTGGTGTACCAACTACAAAAATGTATTTATTGCCACCCCCCGCAACATTACTGATAATTGCTTTAAAAACTGCCTTTTTATTTTATAAAAATAATCCTTACTCAATTCAATATGAATTAAACTAAAACATACCAAAGTATGCTTAATTTAAACCATATGTAAATGTACAAAACCTTTACATTCAGGGGGTTCTCAAAGTGTATCAATTTCCAGTTATAAAGACAGGGATGGAATTTCAATGTGTTCGTTATAAAACTTAAAAGTTTATTTTTTTCCTGATAGATTTAATAGTTTCTATTTCACTCCTTTTTAGACTGTAATTAAGGTTAGGTCTAAATATTAGTATAACTGTGATATGATTGATAAGTTTCTGCTGTATAAAAATCTTATATGAATTCCTGTGTTGTTGATCATATATTTTTAAATGAAATCTTTACTGAAGAACATTTCCATGAAGCTTAATTAGCAGATTTTGCATCACCTTTACATACATGATAACTTTTGTAGAATAATTAGCCTTCATGCCCCTCTCCCCTAAAAAAAGCTGTACTGATCTAACAGGAGCTCTCAGTTCTGGCAGGGAATAACTTAATATAATCTTTACACATATCTTGCAAATAGAAAGTTGTGTTAAAATATCACAAAACATCCAAATAGAAAGCAGGAGATTGAGCCTTTCACTTGCAAACTTGTGAATATATCACACTGGAGCTGTACACATGAGCTGATCAGGTCTGGCAAAGGAAATGGTGGGCTTTTAAGATATTTATAAAACTATTTCTTTTGTAACCAATTTGTATTTTGGAATTCTGTAAACTGTTTTTGTCAGGTCTACCTAACAGTATGATCTAAACTCAATGCTATTTCTGGCTAAAGTGGGTTAGGCTGAAGCTCAACTAAATTCTGTCATCCAGAATTTCTCTCACTAACCAGATTTTGTGTTCTGACCACAAATTTTCATCCAGAAAATTGTTCAGGAAATGGCAGCTACAGCCAAGAAAGGGGTGGGAAAGGTCAGGGGAAAGGAGGAGCAAAGCTCCATTCGAAGCAGGAAAACATGCAGGCAAAATAAAGCAAAATTAGGATGTGCTGAGGTAATTTCTATTTTCCAGGGCACAGAATCTAAGCAGAAGCTCTAGGGGTAGAAATCATAACCCTTCCTTGTGCCGTATACAGGTAGTCTTCTATGTACAACAGCTCATTTAGTGACCATTCGAAGTTACAATGGCACTGAAAAAAGTGACTTATCACCGTTTTTCACACTTACGACTGTTGCAGCATCCCCGTGGTCACATGATTTACATTTGGATGCTTGACAACTGGTTCATATTTATGACGGCTGCAGTGTTCCGGCTTTGTGACCATCTGACAAGCAAATGTAAGGGGGAAGCCAGATTCCCTTAACAACCATGCCACTAACTTAACAACTGCAGTGATTCACTTAACAACTGTGGCAAGAAAGGTTGTAAAATGGGGCAAAATTCACTTAACAACTGTCTCATTTAGCAACAGAACTTTTGGGCTCAATTGTGGTTTGTAAGTTGAGGACTGTCTGTACATCTTCAGCTGATATGAAATCTAATCTCAAACTATGACCATGGTACTGATATGCTATGCTTTTAAAAATAGAAATCCATATAAAATATATCTACTAATTTTACAAAATCCATTCACTGTTCGCAGCTCTGACAATAAGGAATTTTTTTTTCCAAGATAAGATATTTTATCCAAGATAAGATCCGTTTACCCGAAAAAATTCATAGCTTGTCTCTTGAATTTTCAGAGTCCATCTGGAATTTTCTACAAACTTTCAAGCTCAACTTCCCAACCATGTCAGCTGTTACTGAAATGTAACATCAAGACTAGTAATTTTCATAAATGCATATTGAATCAATCCTCCCGAATAGGTTCATTTGTTAAAGCATGTCTCACAATGTAGCAGGGATCATATTACATACAAAATATATAATATTGGACTCAAACCTGGGTCCAAGGTAACCTTGATCCAGCTGTAAAACTGTTATTTTCCCGCAATACTTCAACCTCTTTAAGCTTTGCATGAAATGGAAAGTCTTTTCTGCCAGTTAAACGGCCTTAAGAACTGCTTCAATCAATCATGTTCAGTTTAAAACCAGCTGACTTCCTAAGTCATCCTTCACTATATTTAATATAGTGACAGCTGATGGCAATTTAGTATTCTAGTATTTAACATAAGACACACAGAGAAAAAAAGGACTTTGGTTTAACAAAAAAAATAAAGTGTTTTCATTGATTTTGGCAGCTGTTTGGGATTGAACAATGCAGCCATGAGAATAAGCATAATAAGCTTTCCAGACACTCATTGTTTGAAATGAACTAACAAAAACTCTGCTTCATCTTCCTTTAATGAACATATGATAAAATCAGCAGCATGAAGGATACTTGTGTCTTGATATTTGGTTCAATTGAGCTCACTCAGAGGAAATGGACTAAAACACATCAAAATGTTTGTGTTACTTTTTTAAAATTCATACCAAGATTTTAGCTTCATAACTGTTCTTTGAGGCAGATTAAACTAAGAAATAGGGAGTTTAAACATATCCAAAACCAATCAAGGTATTTTACTGATTGCACAAATGTTAAAGATTAAAAACCAATCTAGTCAGATCAATGAAAAATTATATTCACATTATATTCACATTCTAACCAGATCATTAAAAATATATTGATTCTAACTGTCATGCAACAGTCCGTGAGTTTTCTAAGCAAGAATGAGAGGAAACTATAGCTATTTTTTTCTAAACATAACAATACCTAGCTAATAAATTAAGGATTTCTTTTTCGTCTCTCACAATGATTATTAGACTGTGAATGTGTCTAGCACAGTGGGTGCAAACTGCTTTAGTAAATTTATACTTTTATGCACAGTTTGGATTATTGCACTACCACTGCAGGATTAGAAATACATTCATTGTAAAGGAAATTATGCCTTATAGAACTAGCTTAATGATGACAAAGAGTTTCTGTTTAACTTTTTATGAAATAAGATATAACAGCAGCATCATAAAATCACTAAATTAAAATAAAATATAAACCTATTTCCATGAATTACCTCTTTCCAAACAGAATAACAAATTTTGGGCATCTGAGATCATTAATACAGTTAATATCTGCATCATGGTAAACAATTCTCAGCTTTTTAGATACACTGCTATATACTTACTTTTGTTTTTTTGGGCTCTTAATCTTGATATTTTCTGGTCTGTTTCTTTTTGTTATTTCTTGTCCATTCTTTAACCATTTGAATTTGAGAGAGAGGTGCTCAGAACTGGCTTCACATCTGAGAACTAATGTCTGACCCACAGCAGATTCTTGACTTTTCATCTCCTTCAATTTAGGAGGCACAGCTAAAGAAAAAAATAATAAGGTGTAAGTGACTATGTTGTCTTTTAAATTGAAAAACAAAGGCAGAAAGTGGCATCTGAGCAACTTGGAGCATTTAGAATATCTTGAAATCATGCAACTCTTTACGTGAAAGTTGCCAGTTTCATGAAAAATATATATACATCATGAAATGAAGGGAAACAAATGGGAGGATACTTAATGATAACAACCAAAACTGCTTTGAATTACTAAGTTTGTTATACCCTGTGTATTCAACAATGTTATGTTTGGATGAACTGATAATATGACTGGGAAATGCTGTTCTCTCCCATTCCATCATTTGTAGTTGCAGACTCTCAGAAACTGACACTCTGTAATCCTCTTGTTCCTGGATCTCAAGGATGGCTGGAAGTGGAATTCGAGAATATTTCCACTCATTCTACAACAGATTATAATATAATCACTAGAAGAAAGCTCTGTAGCCCAGAGAAATCTACCTCGCCTGCAAAGCATTCCTTTCCCTGCCAAGGAAAAACTTATTTTAGGATGTTCATTAACCTATAAAATGTTTGGGATTTAGTAATTGTTGCATTTAGATAAATCATTCATGCAACTATTTAAGGTTTTTAAAAATACACAGTTATATAATTACTGATGATGCCTGCTATATAAATGGTGCCATTGGATAGAAATCACTAAATTTACATCTTGCATTTCTTTTCTAATGGAAATTTAGGCAACATCTTTAGCAGTTCCAGAGGTCTGCTACACAGAAAAAAAAAATCACACTAGTGTTAGAAAAGTTGTTGCTTCATGATCCTTCAGATTATGCTGTAATATAGAGCCAAGCTCCAATAAAGCCAGGCTGTGTCAGTACAATAAAATTTGTTCTTCAAAAAGAGTCTATCTCTGTTAGTAATAGGCCTGTTTTATTTACACTGTTCTCCAATTCTGAAACTTAAAGGAGTATCTTTCAAGATCTAGTTTCTCCTTTCAAAGAGGGAACACTTTATACAGTACATTACATTTTGTAATAAAATAAACACAGGCTTTGGTTGCAGATGTTTCCATGACATAAAAAGGCAAGCTGGAATACCAGCCCAATTACCCTTCTCCCCCTTACTTGAGTTGCATAACTTGTTTATGACTTATTGCACAGGGTGAACGCAGTGCATCTGCAGATTTCAATGAAAAGCAGGAAGCATGTTTATGGTTTTACTTTATTTTCCTTTTAGGAAAGTTTTGAATGGAAATCTCCAATTCTCTCTACTTGCCAAAGAGGGAAATCCATATATAAAATCAGATACGTCAGCTCCCAATCTGTGTGAAGAGGGGAGGTGTGTGCAACTGAATGGCATTTCCCTTGGGATCCCAGTAGGCCACGTTTGCTGTGTAATACACAGCAAACACAACATTTTCATCCATTTGGAAACAAAAAAGAAGGTCTTTTTTGGTTTTAAATTTTTATTCTAATATTTTCAGCTTCATTTTTAATAGTTCAGCTATTTAAATATATTTCAAATACATGTAATTTTGACTCTGCCAAGACTCAGGAGAATTCAAAGCAAGGCTGTTTGATATTTTGGCTGTTAAGCATCAATTAACATCTAATGGCACAGTTGATATTTTTTAAAAAGATCAAGGTAATTAGCCAGTGTGGTGAGGAAATCATAGGAAAGCTTCTTCCCCAGATATTAGAAAAATAAGGCTGTTAAGAGTTATTGATGTAAAGTCAATTTTATTATCATGTACTGTACATTTACCAGTAAGTATAGTATTTATCTTGTCTGCAGAAATAAAATTGTTACTTTCACATGAGATGGGCAAAAGTCATGCCTGAATTAATATGAAAAAACAGCAAAAGAAAAAAAAACAAATGAAGACACAGCAAAAGAAAAAGAAAAAAAATTCTTTTAAAGATCATCGAGGTGTTATTCCCTAAACAGGCTGTATTATATATTGTCAATTCTACTGTTGAGATTTTATTGAATTACTACAAAATTACATGCTAAAAAAAGGAAAACAGACAGATATCCAAGTATATCTGAGAGATTTTACTTCCTTAACATGATACTTGGTGGTCCTTTTTGAATATGATTAATTTCAGAAAAAACTTAACTACGGAAAAACTAAGAGAACATGGATTCTGTAGAAATCAACCTATAGATTCTGCAAATCATTGCGGTATTTTTGCTTCATCAGGTATCATTAACTGATCTTGTACTAATTAGCTGTCAGCAGATTTGCAGCTTTTCAAAAAAAGTCTATTTCTTGTTAAAAGGAAAAGGCATGTAATAAATTTTATTAAAAAGTACAAAGGCAGCTTGTCTGATTGTCACTGTAGGCCAGATATAGGACTACAAAAATTTGGGAATAAATCCCATTTAGATGGGGGGGGGAGCTAAAAGATAAAGATATAGACGACTAAGTTGCAAAAAAATTATCATGAAAGTTTCCTATTATCTCACATAGCATATAAATATCTTGTGAAGGACACATTTGCAGCACAACCTATTGAATGTCAACCCCAAAATAAGAGCCGTTTTACTGAATTTACTGCCAAGTAAGTTTGTATTGCAGCCTTAATATTTTTCAATAAAATACTGAATACAGTCTTAGCTTTTTTTCAGTATAGGCAATCTAGTTCCATAAAAAAACCTTTTTGCAGCAAACGCTGTGGAGAACCACAAAAATGACCTTGAAGAAGGTATGCAGGGGAAACAGTGAGCAAAACAGGCATTTAACTGGGATGTCAGCCCTTTGAAGTAGAACTGACTCCATAAGAAATTTTGTAACTTATATTATTGATATAGGCCAGGCTATAGTAACAGCATTTTCCCTTCCCTTCTTACGTCAAAGACAATCAAGATGGGGTCATGTTTATGTTTAGTTCTAACACCTTTTTGCTTTCTCAAATCAAAATCTTTATTACTGCATTTAAGGCAGAAAACACTACAGTAGAAATGCATATACATATATCTAAACTTTATAAAACTATAAAACTAAATGGACATAAAATACAATAAAATTATATAAAATAAAGTAACAACAATATAGGTAACAGTGCCAATCACCAAAAGTTCGACTACTCTTCAGTCGTAAGCAGGACAAATGGTGGCAAAAAAAACCCCAGGCAACCTGGAAAGAGCCACAGAGTCCTGGTAGGACAGAACAAGGGGGAAGATAAGCATTGTGCTCTCTGCTAGGGTAATTCTTTCTTTCCCAGACATAAATCAGATTTAGCTAAGTGACTGGGTTACATACCTTCCCTAAATAATCTCTGTGGTTTTCTACTGATGCCATATAATCTATAGTTCATAAATGTTTGTATTTTCCCATAAAACAGATTGTCCCTAAGTTATATTGCATTTTATATTATATTGTATTTTAATATTTCTATTTCTCTGCTTTTCTCAAGTAGAATTAATGAATATTGTAAGATTGGTTCCAACAAAGTTGGTGTTTGTCTAAAATCTTATACAGACTTTATAAGGAGGTTTATTTGTAGCCTGAACATTTGACATTATCTATCATTGTTTGCTAAGTATTGTGAACTGAACAATTCACAGTACTAACATCATCAATTTGTGTCAGAGGCTCAGACTTACTGGAAAATATTGATATATTGCCATATCTTTGGCAGAGAAGTTTTACCTCAGGCATTTTGGAACAACTGAAACCACAGCTCATGCGCTGCTATATATAGTAGTATCAATTTTATGATGTACAGTGATAGTGATTATATAGTGTTAATTTTAAGTAAATTTTCTGGTAGATCAGGTAGTTATTATTTTTAAATTCTTCCTGTGGATTCTAATATTCTTTTCAAAATTGCCAAATTCTGTTATAAATCCTATGAACTAGGAGACAAATGAGAAAACCTAGACATTTTTGAAATTAAATTAAACAATTTGTCCATGGAAGCTTTTGATTATGCTAAGATTGCATAATGGTCTCAATTTGTTAGCTAAATACCACACATTGATGTGGCTGGATAATATGCTTTTTGGCTACCATTGGATAGTCTGTCTATTTCTACTTATCTACCTAAACACATACAGTACATTGTAAATCCTAGATTCTACTTAGTAAGTTTGCAATAGTTTGCAAAAACTTGCACCAAACACATAGTTTTCAAGAATATACTTTACCCAATTGAAAAAACAGTAACATAAAGTATTAATTTACTTTCATAAGTATTTTGCACTCATACATATCATCAGGTAAATCTGTTATCTTTACTCTTTATCCTACATGAGTTTCTTAATGGGACAAATTTGCAATATGATCTTTCCTAGCTGTTATCATCAGCCCTCTACAAAATAACATGAGGATGCTCAAACCTTTCTATCTGTTCCATGCTTTTCCTCTTCTGAAATCTTTCCCTATTGCTTAAGAAAGTAATTTGACTGAAGTATTTTTTAATTGTTATTATTTTTCCATCATATATTAAAAACGATATTCACAGAGAAAGGGAGACCTTACATCCAGACTAATGTCCCCAAATCTGAATTTAGAAGACATGCTTCCAATATTTGCAGAAGTATATTTAAAAGATGGAGCAGCGTTGCAATTTATGCTAAGTTTAATGGACAAGGGCAAATAATTCAAAATATTATGGATTATGTTAAATATTCATATATATATTTGGAGAATCAATAATTTGAAGTAATTGATTTGATAATGGAAGTGGCAAATTGTTATTATAGATTTCCTGTGTTGTTTCTCCTTCAGTTATTTACAGAGCTTATCAAGGGTACACCCTTTTTCTTAAAAAAACAAAAAAACAAAAACCCAACTGTAATGTGATTTGATTTTGGCTTAATGTTATATGAACCTCTTCCAGTAGACATTAACCACGGGCTTGGGACCAAAGATAGGTTTTAAGGACTTTGGGAATGCCAGAAAAGAGGAGGCTGTTTATACCTTTGGGAGGATGAAGTTTCAGAGGCCAGGGGCCATAACAGAGAAAGCATGCTTCCTTGGACCCACAAGTTGACAAGAAAGGACTTGGAGCATATCC